CCCCCCATTCCAACCCCTTCCCCAAAGTCCCCGCCCCAACTCCGCCCCTTCCCTGCCCCTATTCCAACCCCTTCCCCAAATCACTACCTCTTCTCCGCCTCCTCCCGTGAGCGTGCTGTGTCCCTGCTCCTTCTGCTCCCTCCTGGAAAGTCCTAAGCACCGTCAAACAGCTGTTTGGCGGTGGGACACTGCTGGGTTGTAGGCGGAGGAGTGGGGACGCGGCATGCTCTGGGGGGGGGAGGGAGGGAGGGAGGGAGGGTTTGGGGAGCTTGGCTGCCAGTGGAGTCAGCACCTATGGCGGGTCGCAGGAAATAACTCCGCGGGCCGCATGTTTGAGACCCCTGAAACATAACATGACCAATCACATGAATAACAGAGTCACCATGCACATTATGGGTGAAAGCCTGGCCATACTGAAATCAATGGGAGTTTTGCCATCAATGGGGCCAAGTTTCCCCCAAGTGGTCTACTTGTTGTAACCCATCCATGAGTCTTTGCTCCCCCCTAGACCACATTTATAGAATGATGAGACTGCTCGATACCCTGGATGGGACACCTACCGCTTGCACTGATGAACACTGGATACATGAGCAGAATGGCCTGATAACTTAAACCAAGAAAAATTCTGAATGCATTTAATTTTTGCTCAGATTTTCAGATGTGCTGACCACCCACAACTCTAACTAAAGTCAATGAGAGCTGCAGATGCGCAGAATCTCTGAAAATTAGGCCTTATTTGATCAGCTCTAATGGATACGCTTTTTCAAAAGCAGCTAAATTTCACTGCTTGGCTGTATTAAACACATCACATTACCTGAGCTGGCTCCTACCTGGTTAGAGTCAGAGATGCAGCTGCTGTTATTACTGATCTGAGCGGGAGCTGGGTTGACAGAGATAACTGCCATGTGTTGTCGTGGAGGGAACGTGGGGGATGGCTGGATCAAAGGTGGCGTATGTCCAAATGCTGAGCTCAAGCCTCTCTGTTGACTCAGGATCTGCTGGTAAGTCACTGGGTTGATGGGATGGGGGAAGCTGAATGCTGGACTGCAATAAATATACAAATAGAGGAGGAAAAATTACCAGGAGAAGTTATTTTAAAAAATGAATTAAATCCTTGGCTAGTGATTGGAGTAAGGGTAGAACTTCCCACTGATTATGGGAAAGAGGATAAAATAGGGAAACTAGATTTTCTTTAATCTTCCATGATATACACCATGGAATATTTTTCACACAGATATTATTGGTCTCATCTATACTTTGGTATATTTATGGACCCCTTCTATTCACAAACAATACTGCTAGAGATTTCTTTTTGTAAGTTGTTTGAAAAGAGTGGATTACAATGGGGGAAAACCCCACACATCCTGCTTTGCACCAATGCAAGGTTTTTCCAGGTAGACCTCTTTTGCAACTTCCCAAGCTTGTGGCTACGCTACTCTTAATACAGAAGTGAAGTCACCTGGCTCTCAGGCACAAATTGAAGAGGGAACATTTAACAATCAATTTCACATAGTTAAAAAATATGAAATGTACCCTGCATTCAACTGAGCTGGACGATGGCTCATGGGACTACTAAAATATGTAACCCTTCTTCTGCAGGTCACTAGTTCAACCCCAGTTTAGATCGCTCATAGCCAGAAATCATTCCCATCTAATGGTTATTTGGTTACCAGTGTGGTTTCAGACCAGGATGTAGTAGACACGCCATAAAAATTACCATCAGAACTGCCAACTTTACTGGTAATGTTCTTCTAATTCCGCTGCTGTCAATCTGGCACTTTAGGGGCTGATCCAATGAACATTTATATACTTGTAACTTTACTCACAAGCAAAATTACCCACAGGCACAAGTGCTTGCAGGACTGGGCCTTAATTAGCAATATGTTCATGTTTTTATTTTAAATAATAAACTTGACTAGGCAATTAAGGCTGCTTCTATTCTAAACCAGTTAATGACAGCATGACCAAAAAGCAAAGGCCAAAGTCACTACCCTGTTAAAAAACCCTTGTGGCAAAATAAATGTTAATGGTTAATGACATAATAAGAGCTGATGACAGGTTACTGTAGAGCAACTGTTCTATATAATGGAACCATCAGAAAACTCACTTTATAACATATGACCATCCCTCTGTGGTGAGATGCATTAATTTGCGTCACTGCTGCCACTGATGAAATTTTAAGTGGTTAAAAATAAAAAAAGTCAATCTGTACACAATTTATTAGCCGTTAAACTGTTTTCTATGTATGACACACACTTAAAATTCTTAAGATTTAACATATGCCTTGTAAAATACATATTAAATGGTTCTAAATTTATTATTATTATTGTGGTAATGCCTAGAGGCCACTAGTCAAGGATCAGGACCCCATTGTTCTAAGCAACGTACACAGGCTCAAACAGTTTACAGTTTAAGTATAAGAAAGAGACTGGAAGTGGATACAATAGATGGGGAGAACTCATGGGAACAGTGGGATGATAAGTATGATGAATAGTTAAAATCTTGAGGTTTCCTAAAGCTAGTACTTCAAAAATTTTACCTGACAAAGCAACTTTTCAATTAATGTCTAACTTTTTACTAACAATAAGATCAATCATTTTTTAGGAATGCATCGCTTCTATGAACTCTTACATTTCTTTCTAGGTGTCTAGAATGACATTATTAATAGGAAAAAAACCATACCTAACTTCTCAGTGGTAAAAATAATAATACTATAGTGTGAAACCTGCCTTAAGCAACCACTCGAGGAGTTGACAACATTTGTTCCTTTAAGGGAAGTGTTTTCTAATTAAGGATGGAACAGAATTTTATTCAAGAGCCTAGATTTTTAAAAATCAGTGTTTAAAGTTAGGCTCCTAAATCCACACAGGAATTAATTTTTTAAAATCTTGGCCAATACATTCGACGATACTTTGAGGTAGTCTTCTAAGATGTGAGATTTCCTAATAAGGCCAGTCAAACCATTCACAGCAAACATTTTAATAGATGAATTTAGCCTTTCTTCTGCTTGCAAAGAGGTATGAACATATTATCAATAAAAATCTGGCAACCAATATTCCCTCCCAGTAAAAATATATACACTCTACAGTACCATCATATCCACCATTGCAGAAGAAACAGGCTAAATGTAGATTACCCTTCCACATGCATGAAATCAAAGAGAGGTTTCATTTTTATATACAATGCAGACCCAATGTACATTTTTGGAACAAGATTCCATACAATCCTAGAGGGCCAAAGCTTAAAAAGTTCTTTTTCTACAGCTTTAGTTCAGACAATGGAATAATTATATAGGCACATGATCAAAGAAACAAAGGTCTAAATGGAGCTGCTCGAACTGCTTTACCTTATTGCCCCTGCAGATAAATGGCCGTAGGAACCACTAGCAGCGGAACTACTTCTGGAGTTATTAATATAAGCCACCAGGGAGTTCGGGGAGGTCCTGATCATTGTCTGAAGATCAATGCTGGCATCAGACAGCGGGGATATGGAGAGGGCTCGCTTTCTACTTAATCTCGGAGTAACCCTTGGGCTTGAAAATCTTGACACTGTAGGAAAGAAAAAAAAAGTGTGCCTAGTTAGACAAAAGTCAGGCACTACTCGGTTCAGTTTTTATAGGGAGAATAAATGAAAGCAGTTAACAGCACAGAACCTTGCCATGTAACGTTTATTTTAACGCTGGGAGTGGGATTTGACATGGGAACACATGGAAGAGTTGCGTGTGCGTGCGCGTGCGCACACACACACACACACACACACACACACACACTCACTCTGTGATTCACAGACACTACAGAAAAATTATTTTTGTTGCCATGACAGTGATTCTTGTGGAAGAGAAGAAGCAGGACTCAGGTGCAATAATTATAATGGGGATTCTTGATTGAGGCAGCTGAACTCAGAGGCAGCCTTTGGTTTTGCCTGATTTTCTAGCTCTCAGGACGTCTGATTCCACCACACAGGCTCTTCTTGAGGCCCACATTCAGCAAGGAACATAAGCATGTGATTAACTTTAAGCATGTGAATAATCCCATTGAGGTTGATGGGGTAGCTTGCTGAATCAGGGCCAATAAACCCTGAGCATGGATTATCACTTTCTCACTTGCACCACTTCTGCACTGACATAACTTCAGTGGCTTCACCAGTGCAAGGGAGAGAAGTGTCAGGCTACCACTTTCTTAAAAAAATAGGGCCCAATCATGCACATGCTCCGTGTAAGGGCTTCTGGGGTCTGACTCAAAGTCCATTTAAATCAATGGGAGTCTTTCCATTGACTTGCATGGACTTTGGGTGAGGCCCTTGTTGCATTAGCAGTGACTGCAGGATCTGCTGTCTAATTTGGGGCAGTGGCAGTCTTCTTGCTGTGTGTTTGTACAGCTCCTAGCCCAGTGGGGACCTGGTCCATAACAGGGTTCCGAGGTGCTATACAATACACAGGACAAAGAACTAACATATCAATAACAGTAATACTTGTATTCATTCAGATGAAATGCCGATTGCTAGAGTTTTCACTAAATGAAGAGTCTGCAGGGTGAGTGACAAGCTGTTTACTCACTAGAGGAGCCTGGATAAACACGAGATTCCAAAGGGCCCATTTTTAATTACTTGTACCTAAAAATAATTAACAGATGTATTTATTCCTTCATTCTTTACTCACAGATAGATGCTGTAAGGTTGCAGAAGAAACACGGCATTCTTCTTTCCAAACTGAGTGGTTTTCAATGCCTGCTTTAAGGTCCCTGCTGCACGATAACTATGGAACTACTTATTATTGGCACCTCCAAAATTATACGCCCCAAATTTTACATTAGAAGGGACTGCTTGACTCATAGGGATGATAATGGGACATGATGCCTTGTGCATCTCATCCCTAGTAGAGCTGGCTGGAATATGGGGGGAGGGGACAATCATGGATTTCACCCCTCCATTTTTCAACAACATTTAGAAATTTCTGACCAGCTCTGATCACTAGTTCAGATCCAGATGAGGTGAGCATCAGTTAAAAAATGTTCCCATCTGACGATGGTTTGGGGCCATATGTTAAATGGGCTGGAGGCCTGATTCTTAGCAGAGGGGCATCTTTCTTACCAAAAAACCCCATCAAACTGGGCAACGGTTGGCACCCTTGTTGGCATTCTCAGAAGAGGGGCTCTACTGAATGAGAAAAGGGGGAGAGATGTAGAGAGCTTCTTGTGTTCATGTGAATACACTTGTAGATACCTGGGTGATGGGCAAGGTGTAAGAACCAAGAGTGATAGAAGTACAGCATGGGGATGGAGACTTGCACTGATCCCTAGATCCTCTCCAAGCTTAGGGGTGAATGTAGGGAAGCTGCTGGCCTTGATTTCAGTCCTTGGAGGACAAAAAAGAGCTTCAGTCTCTGGGACTGTCAATCAACACCTTGCACCAGCACTAAATTAACTTAAAATGAGAAAGGAAAAAGCCCCTGAAGATTACTCTGAACACGGTGATTTTCAATGACTTAGCAGTAAGAGAAGTGGACTGGAATAGCACCACATCAGAGCAGAAGTTGAATCTTAGAAATTGTGTATGTGCATTTGTCTAGGGGAGGGAAGGAAATGAAATGAGCACTAGCACAATGCTGAGCATCCAGTTAATGAAAGAGGTGAGACTCCAGGAGCCTAGAAAGTAAATTAAGAGTTTTAAGAGAATCTATTTGACAGCCCAAGCACAAAGTGCAGGCTCTTACCCTCAGAGGGGACTGCCAGGACCTGGACCCTATTAACAACTGTCAGTCAATCAGGCATGAAGTCATTTCCACCTTACCTGGTTTTGGTTGTGGGAGTCTGAAATAAGTGGAGAGCTTATACTGGATTAATTTGGACTCTCCCAGCACTTAGGTGCATTAGTGATTGGAACATGTGACTTCGAAGGGCAAATTCTCCCCTGACTTACATCATAAATCAATGGGGTCGCACAAGTTGTAGTCAGGGCAGAATTTGGGGCTGAGCTTTGCAAAATATTAGAGGATCAGATCCAAATGTTTGACTGAGGCCTATCTACATCTGGAACTGTTGGTCACGTTGAAAGTGGTGGGCGCAGCATAGATACTGTGGTAGGTCACCTATTTTTCTAGGCTTTTATATTTAGAAGATGCCACTGCCGTGTAATCCAAAATGACTACCTGCTAGGCTCCTGTTAGCCTGCTGATAGGTCCATGTGACAAACCCAATCAGCATTCAGCACCTGCATTTCAAGCCCCTTTCCTCAGTAGGTGAGAGTGCAGCGCTACCAATTCTTTCTTTTCCAGCAGCTGTCTCTGCTGAGCCCCTACCTTGCAGGGGGCTTATGAGGATAAATACATTAAAGACTGTGAGGCACTCAGGAACTTATATGGCCCCCATTACCATAGCTGTAGTATCTAAGATAGACAGGCAGATGGTAAGGTCTCTTGTTTTTCCATACCTGCCTCTCCTTGGGGCTAGGGCATCAGTGGTGACCAATTACTATTTATGTAGTGCCAAATGTATGTTAGGCACTTTACAGACAAATACGAGGACAAGATCCCAGCCTTGCAGGCAACACATAGGTGAGGGGTGGTGAGATGGGATGTAACAAAAAGTGAGGGACAGAGCAGCAATGTAGCCAATGTGTCTTGCAGCTTCCTTGATGTGTGTTAGATCTTAACAGCTGGTCATTCATTAACCCTTCCTTGAGAGGTGTAGTAGGATTTCACTTCACTTAGTGCCCCTAACTGTTTTGTATTGGTGCACTCATATACATCACATCTCAGGATAAATGAATTTTAGGTTCACAACAACCCTCTGTGAGAAAGAAGCTCTGTGTTAACCCGTTTGAACAGTTAAGTCTACTATGGTGCTGCTATTCCTGATCTGATGAGAAGGTAAAAAATGAACTACACAAGCAGAGATTGGCTAGAACCAAAAAGTCAGAAGCAAAAAATGTCAAATTTGGATATGGAGCTCAAACATTGCAGATGGCCCTTAAAACTCGGGCCTGAACAGACATCCTGCATCCAAACAACCCCAAACTTTAGGAATGTTCCAATCTGGATTTAGATCAGAACCATGAGGCTGGGACCTATCTCTAACACAGAAATTTTTTTAAAATAGCTTATGTTAACTTTCTGGGTTTGGAGATAGGCCCCAGCCTCAAGGTTCGGATCTGGATCCAGACCAGAACATTCCTAAAGTTTGGGGTTGTTTTGATCCAAAGTTAGTTACTCCCATGTAGAAACTGGAGGCAGCATAGTCAAATGGCTGGGGCATTGGACTGAGACTCCTACTCCCAGCTCTGCCACTGAGCTGCTGTGTGACCTCCAGCAAGTCATTCAATGCCTCTGTTTCCTGTCACATCATTTGCCTTGTTTGTTTAGACTGTAAGTATTTTGGGGTAAGGATTGTCTGTTATTATGTGTTTGTACAGCACCTAGCACAATCGGGCTCTACTCTGAGTTGGGGCCTCTAGGTGCTACTCTACTACAAATTATATCTATCCAGATATAGATATTGTTTTCTGCATTTGCATTCCCACAGTCTTCTATTCCTGTAACAGAAGGAAGCAGGCCACATTTGACAGTCATATTTATCTCTGTTACTCCCACACCTCAAGGGAGATCTGTTTATTAATGTGCCACTTCCCTTGATAAATTACTAAATAGAAAGAAAAGCCTTGTACTCATTTCTCGCTGCTCCTTCCAGTGATTTATGTCCACAGAGCTGGTTCAGCCATCGGTCCCCATTAATCTGTAGAGGGAAGAAGTCCTGATGTCCAACAGAAGCTCTGGTTTTATTGGTGCAACCATTCAGTGCACCCTCCACTGCACTCAGGTAAATTCTTTTTTTTTTCCCCGTGTAAAACTCTGCTGGAAGCTGTCAGATTCTGCAAGCTGGGCTGGGACTTTTCCAGCACAAATCAAGTAATATGCATTTTATTAGTGTCTGCTCTAATTTAGATCTTCCAGGCACTGTGGGATGTGTAAAGTGGTCTGATAGAGGATCTATGAGGCTGGGTGTATGTTTTACACTAGGGTCTCTCTGATATTAGGGGTTTTCACACTTAGCTTTGACCTCAAATCATGTTACACACGAATGATTCCTCTTCCAGTGCGGATAGCAACACAAAGTACCCAAGAAGGAAGGTGGCTAGGAATATAAAGTTTGTTTTACTACATAGAAAATAAGCAGTAGCACCCGGAGGAGAAAACTATATCTATGATAATTATCCAAAGCAGGTAATTATTAGCATCATGGACATTGTTAATAACTCTAACCTGCATCACTTTCCACTCCAAGTGCAAGGCACATTTCTTTGACCTTGCCTTTGCTTATAGAAACACATATCAACAGGCCTGTTTAACTACAAAAACAACAACAAAACAACACACACACGCTACCGAAACAAGCCACTTCACTCCACATGCTTCTCCTTCTGGGGAGAGGATTCGAAAACCAAAAACACATGACAGATATGTATTCACATTGCACTACGGGAAATCACTCAGGTACTACAGGGATGAGCATGGTATAAAAACCTATATAGTATAGAATAGAATAATACTATTGGC